TGATGTTTTGGTTCTGTTTTGTAATTTAGCCTCAAATTCGGCCCAAATTCGTCTCAAATTCAGTGAATTTCAATTACAGCCGTTTGAGAATCCGGTGAACAAGAAAATAGTATTCACTTCCAGCGAGAGCTGTGAAGTGTGGATGACTTTACCACTTTGGATGGGATTAATTACATTGTCTTTGTTGACAGTAATCCTATTGCTTGGTCTGTATTTGCTATATAGAGTCGCAACGCCCGACCGGTTTGAGAATCCAAAGGGAAAGCCATTGATTGTGGCCGCGGCTGACGAACAATAGTCATCTGTTTTAAATGCAACTATAATTGTCTCACATATGAGACGCCAATAATGTATTAATACTCTCATCTCCGGTACTAATAAGTCAATACTATATTAATCTCAAATGTCTTATGAATCTCAATGTATTGTGTGATTACTTGATCTCAACTTTTAATTTGTTATTTATTTGTAAATAAATAAGAGTTTTACCTCTTTTGTAGATAATTATCAAACTTATGAATTAAAATTCAATCAAATGTTTTATTTAAAAAATAACGGAATAATAAAATTAAATATAATTTAAATAAAAATTAAATAAACTAAATATTATTTGCTTTTCATATGAAATGTGTTCACTGGAAGTGCTTTACTATTGAGGAGGACTTGCTTTCTCTGTCGGTCTCTGTTTGGAGTTTTCTCTTTTTCGCTATATTTATAAATTGAGTGCAAGAAAAACATGTGATTCAATGAAATTGTATTGAATTTGGCTTACGTCTGATTGTTTCATCGCTTTCATACGTTTCCGACTCTTCATGAACACCAGTGGTCTCTAAATTGATTGTATTATTGGTTAGAGCCTTAAATTCAACGGTATTCCGGACGCCAAACACGATGAAGAATGCCATACGAATGAGTCCACTCCATAACATACACATCGTTAGACTCAATACCAGAGTCAATATGAAGAGAATGAATATATAGACACTTTTGGCCCAATCACTGGTTCCAAACCAATCAATCGATGAGTTTTTATCGCTAATTAGTTTCAATGCCGGACTAAAGAGTAACGCAATGATCGATATAGCGATCAAATAAGTTAGATATAAACGTCGGACATGTTTTCGCCATCCAATGAGATCTCGTTTGGTTTTGTCATAATTTCTCTCCAATTTAAAACTATATCTATAGAGAAAGGCCGAGAAATTGGTCAGATTGTAGGCCAAAACGCTGGACAAAATTGATGTTAAGCCGAGAACTGCATAATCGTATTCGGCTGTAATACTGTATGGTTTCAAGACGTTTGCGATACATTTGTTGAATGATAAAACAGCGTTGATTAAGTAGAACACAAATATGACAACTTCGATGAAATCCATGGGCGGGTATAGAGTCGTGCCGTATGTCTTATATACAGGCAAACTGAGTGTCGAAAACAAAATAGTTTATAAGAATCGAAATGACAATTGGATTACAACTTCTTACCATTTAATATAATTCATTGGATTTCTATCCGAATCGGTGCTAAAGATTGGAACCAAGAGTTGGGTCCACAATGACTGGACTGATGGCCGTATAACGGGTCTGAGGGGCGCGGCCTCGAGAGCAGTCCGATTAATATAAGAGCCGATCGTATAGTAGATTGAATGACCGAAAGTCTTATCCGTCACTCGTATGCCATAGATATAGACGTCGTCAAAGTCGGTGCGGTTGTTATGCATCGCCCGAACCGAACAAATAGGTCTCAACCCTTTCTTTCTGATCAACAGGAAGTGTGCCCTTCCGTCCACTATATCTTTGACCAGAACACTGAACGACAGGATTTTGATGCCCTGTTTGGTCACTAAATCGATATAAACTCGCGTTTTGTTCTCGAGTTGTGATTTGTATAAATATACTGTTATTATATACTGCGAAAGATTGGGGTCGTCGTCCTCTGGACCCGTATCCCGACCGAAGATTTGTCTCATCTGTTCCGGACATACCGTACCGCACGTCCACTTGAGGATCACGTATAAGATATACCCGACACACATATAGCCAGCGGCTAATAATTCGCACCAATTTTTTCCAATAAAGTCCATCACTTGAATTCAATTGACATTTAAATAAAATGATTACTTATTTTATTTGTAAAATATTGCAATCAATCGATAAATCAGTTTTGATTTCATATTTTAAAATTTATCAGCAATATCTCGCACTTAACACTCAATTCATTGTCTGTTAAAATATGTTAAATTAATATTCTGTGCAATAATTTATTTAATTCACGACATAATAATGTAATTTAATATAATTTGTGTCATTAATGTCAAAGTTTTTGTTAACCCATAAAAACTTATAAAACTAGTCTAAAACTCTAAATAATTGTTTTTTTGTTATATTAAAAACATTTTGTAACAAATTGTGTATAACTTTATACACAGAATATTCTGTACAACGACTACAGAATATTCTGTGTATAAAGTTTTATGACGATAAATAAAAGGAGTTTTAAGTGTATTATATTTAATTAATTATCACAAAAAGTATTTGTCTATAAAATTAGTCTTCGGATAATTATCTCAAGTTTTTCACAGCCTTTACCACCAAATAAATGGTTAAACCT